ACTTTTCCTAAATAGCTTCTTGAGGAATTTCAAAAGGATTACAATTTAAGCTTTTTTTTTTTTTTGGACAATTATATTTAGATATGTAGTCGCATAAAAAATACACGCAAACAGTACAGTCTTTTGAAAGAGGTTAGGGGGCAGCCTATGTGAACTACATGACTCAAAGACTATTAATACCAGTTAGAACACGTGCACTTAAACAAGCAATCCAAGAGGCCACATCAATACTGGACCCTACACAGTTCAGAATGACACCAAATCCAGTTCTCCCCGTGTCCAGAAAAACACCCAGGCATTCAGAAACACATATGAACAAACAAAATGGGGTACCCTTGAGTACCCCAAAATGGGCTATCCATACACAAAGTTGCCACAGCAGAGTTGCCAAAAAACCTCTAAAACTCAAGCTTGGCCACCATAACGGTGGAAAATAGCACCAAATAACCACAAGCACCGTCAAAGAGAGATCACAATCTACTGGTCTGTCACATAATCTAGGAGCCATCCTTGAACACTGGATTGACACGGGACCCCAAGGATGCAATGAGGAATAGCAAAGGAAACAAAGATCAGCCTGGCACAACTGCTGCCACAACATTAGCAAGTTCACAGTCACTGCATACAAATCAGGAAGGAAAAACAAAACAAGCCATCAGGACGCAAGGAAATGCAAAGCATAAAATGACAAGACAGAATCCTAATAAGACACTTGAGAGATGATGAACCCAAGAGGACTATATCTGCCTGTGCCTCTTTAAAGAGGGAAAGGAATTCAAAACCTACTGAGCAATCACTATTTCAGGAGAAAAGAAGAGCATAAAATTGAAAATGCTGAACACAACACACTGCCTGGGGAGCAGAGCGGGACAAACCTCAGCACTGCAGCTCACAAGGTGAGAGTTTCAACTTGCTACGTCAAGGCTGAGGGGGACCTGTCACAGGTGGGTGCAGAGCTCCGCTCCATTCTGTGAGGATATCAACCAACACGTAGTACACGACCTAAAGGGAACAACGGGAGATATTTCAAAATACAAAGTGTTAGCAGCTACAGGAGATTTTTAACATGGAAGGAGACATGAACACAAAAGCCTGAAGTAGCAGAACGATAAGTGTTCTGTAACAAATCACCATATTTATTGCTGTACTATCTTCCATATTATTCCTCCTTAAACTTTAAGGAAAAAAAGCCTAAGGGAAGCTTTTGGGATATCACCCAACAGGCAGAAAACGAGAGTTGCCATAACTTATAGATAGAAATCAAAAGATGACAAGTAATTTATTCAGACTGCAATTAGCATGGTCATCCATGAGGCTCAATATGCTGAGAGCCAAGACATGTGATGTTAAAATACTCTGTAGTCTGGCATGGTGGTGCAGAAACCAGCAGATCCCTTGTAAGGGAAAAAGCAAAAACTGAGGAGAAAAATAAAGGGGGATGATGAGAGCCACTTAGCAGTCACTGAAAGAGGAGACCAGAGAGCAGGATACTGAAGTGGTTAACAGGTGAAGTGCTGCAATTGAACAGCCTACATTGAACCCAAACAAAAAAGAAAGACTTACAGAAGCCAATAACCCTCTTCTCCCTTAAACACACACAGATATTGTATTTGAAGGAGGAGGAGATCATCTGAACCAGAGGTCCCACCAATCTAAGAGTAGATAACGAACTGTGACTAAGCCAACAAAGAATAAGCAATAGCAACTACAGGAGTTGTATACGACACAAAACCTGACATCATGCAGCAGCCTCCTATACAAGTGCAGGAAGCAGATGCTAAAAACCACCAGAATTAGCAGCAACCTCAAGTGCTTGACTGAAAAGGGGAGAAGCAGCAAGAAGCAGTCACACATCCCCAGCTGCGCTGCAAGCGCTTGGGAGAATTACAGTCGGGGCAACACACAGCCTATTCAACCTGATGTACAAATGAGAACAAATAGCAGTGAATGGAGCACAGAGCAATAACAGTAATGACCTAACGGAAGCCAAACAGCACCCGGTGCCAAGACTACAGAGGCCTTTTTGCTGCCCAGGCTTGGGCAGAGCAGAACAAAGGCACAGGCAGGAGCACTCCCAAAACTACAGGCCAGATTTGGAGCAAAGAACAGAACAATTCTTTGCAGGTGGACAAATCCGGGAGAAAAATAAATGCACTAACAGCAGCCTCAACTCCTAAAATGATAGGGTAAGCTTGGAGAATGCATGGTCCTCTGGAAACAAAAAATAAATCCAAATCCAGCCCAAAACAGCAGCCACGGGAGATGAGCAGATGGTAGTGCTTTTCAGACTGCTTGGGGGTGATGCGAATACCCACCAAAAACAACTTCACTTAGTTTAGCAAGGTAAGCGCAAAGATTCTTATACCAAGAAGAGAAAAGTGAAGAGGTTCCAGCAGGCAGGAAGACAACAAACACCTTTAGGACTGTATGTGACAGCACCCTCAAGGCACCGAGCAAGATGGATATGTGGAAAATTATAGCAGAGGGATTAGCAATAAAAAAAATAGTTGTGGGTGATGGAAACAGCAGCCAGCAGGGCAGAATCACAGAATTAGAAGCAAACACACCTTGGATATGGATAGAGAATGAAGAGACCTGCTCTGTAACCACCACACTAAGGGGATAAAGCAGCCCGAGGGGTTGCTGCAGGGGCAGGAAAGGGGCTGCTGCTTAATCTATAGCCTGAGTGGATAAATAACCAGGGCTCGTGGTCTGCTCAGCAGCTTCACGTTTCCTCTGCAAGACAGAAAAGTCGCTCTGTAGAAATGGCTTAAAAAAAAAAAAAAAAAAGTGGTAAACAAAGTTTGCAGGACACAGACCTTCCCACGGCGAAAAAAATAATAACAACAATAAAAAGTATCCCCCGGGCTAATAAAACACTCCCGGCTCTCCCGAGGGACCATCGAGAAACGCAGCAAGATTTTTCCGCACCCCAGAGCCGGGGCCCGGGCGCCGCCGCGGGGGCTCCCGCCCGCGGGCCGCGAGGGGCCCGGGGACGGACGGGAGGG